AATTAGTAAACAAAAAAAAATCGACTTACCTCGACTATCGTCCATGTCTGTTTCAGACGAAGATACATTGAAAGTGGGGAAGGTAGAGTTACTCATATTGCACATTCACGAGAATATTGAGTATAGTTGAAGAAGCGGTGATTTAATGATCAAATAATAACGATGGGTAAGAAATATGCGAATCACAGAATTTATAGTAACAATCAGGTCGTACGATTACATCATGCATGAAAAGTTCCATAATCTTCGATTTTATTCTGCGATATCACATGCGATATGTTGATCGAACATCTGTGTTACGCAATCGATTTTTCAGACATGTGATTTTATATGTTTAAAAACGAAATTAATTTTATATGATTCTAAATATTGTAGGTCGAAGCCCATTGCAAGGCGATAGATAGAAATGTGGGGTAGAGACGTTTAAAGGGAGGAATAAAGCATAAATGCCCGCCGGATCCTAAGCCTTTTACATAGTAAAAATAGCGGTTCCTTTCCCTACCCCGCACTAGCTATCGTCATTTATTTCTTCATCCTCCTCACTTTCCGGTTCAGTATCTATCTCTCCATTCTGTTTTGATATCCATAACTTTAATGAATCCAGCGTATCTTCTTTCGGGTTTTTAGTCAATTTTTTATGAAAGTTTCTAATGGTGGCATCACTGATCGCTATCCCCTTCTTATGATTGATAACAAGTACCCGGTTTCCTCAGCTACCCCGCCTTCTCGCAGTAACTGCTCGAAGCCAGAAAAAAGCAGATAACATATGCATCTTTTTTCCGAGAAATAAAGAGGAAAAACGGAGATCGGAAATAGTGCCAGTATAATTTTGAGGCGATTTGGATGTGCCAGATCCGGCATTACTACTTCTTGCGACCCCGTCTCGAACTTCGCGAATGTCATAACCAAGATGTTTTACGGTTTCAGATAAACCAGAGATAACTTTTTGTTTTTTGAGTGAGGCAGTCATTTTCGCGTCGAATCGCTTTTCAGTGTTCCCAGAATTGTATCTGGTTACGATATATAGAAATAGTGTTTGAACGAACATAATGATGGCGAGTAGTAAAAAATCGGAAGTTAATGAGAACATTTTGAATCCAATGCTGGGTTTTTTTACGATTTTGCGTTATTGAGATGATAGCAAAGTGTTTGTAAAGAGATTTGTGAGATTTGACCCGCGACATAGTGTGTTTTTTATATCAGGTCCAGACTACAGAATATGAATATGTAACATTAGCGAACGCGATCATAATAACCAGTGAAATGAATCCAATTATGACTCGGCACATCTGTGCTGAAATCCTAAGTAACTAATTCGTCGCTTTATTATGAATTCGAACGCAAAACAACATTCGTGTTGGGTATTTTATTACGGTTAATGAGCTAACTACCTCAGCTAATACATATAAATGAATTAGGAATCGAAATCGAGCTAACTCGTGATTGACAATTCCGGATCATCTCTAACATGATTCGTTCACAATATTTGTAGATCGTTTCACAGATACTCGGGTTTTCAGTAACCGAAAAACACGTAACATTTTTATCAGTAATAAATTCTCGATCACTTTTCTTTATTTAATAAAAATAGTACAGTTATGACCTTCTATGAGCCTGCTGTATACATGTGGATCTATCCGCTATTTTTTGATAACTTTTTAATTCTAGCCCTTTTACTGGCAGGAGAGTTATCGACCGTTATCCTATCTTTTAATAGCCCAACGATAACACCTAACACCCGTTTTACCCCTTTTTTGATTGATTCGATATCTTCTTTCAATGCCGTTTTGGAGAGATTTATCTGGTATTCGCTTTTACTCGTACAATAGAGCCCATCGGTAGCAAAACGATGAAATGCCATTCCGTAGCTAAAAATAAATTTGTAAATCGGTTGTAGCATAGTCAAAATTTCTATTGCGGGAATTATAAGATATAAATACCTGTAGATACTATTCCATAGAGATAATCATAATCATCATCTCGAAATGCTTGATCCGCCGTGCGTTTTTTCTTATTTATATGGTACGCACTCTCTAGTTGCATGATATTCCAATTTCGACGTTACGGGGTTTCCCTTCAGCTATACACATAAGATCTTCGTTTCCTTTTATTGCATAATCGACACGACCAGATGTCTCTTCACCGGAAACTGCTTTTTGATATGCTAGGTAGATTTTTTCTTCATTGGTAAGTCTTCGAACGATAGCCAGAGATGCGTTTAATATCGACGTAATAAATACACAACGCGTGGCTTCGTTAGCATTAATCTGCATTGTTTCCAGATTCGAAAGTCTTAGCGTAATTTCATTCTTACACTGCTCAAGTGCTTTGTCGTTGTCATCGATTTCCTCGAAAACTATAACAGAAAAAAAGTTAGAATATAACTTATGTTTGATCGTTCCCCAAGGGAACGGTTTTTGCCAAGAAATTTGCGAGACGGTTCATCCCGGAAAATGAAATGCCAAGAAAAAATACCACATACCCGGATTGAATTGCTTGATATTCGTTATATCCTCCCCATTGACTTTATATTTGCGGAGCACGTCTTTTAATTCATCCAGCGTTTTGTATGACGAGAAATTTCGTATCTTTTGTTCGGTAATCTCTTCAATAAAATCTACAAGAACGGTTACAGTCCCACCCTTCAAGCCATAACTGAGAAATTTTTCTTCTGTAGTCTTGAGGAATGCACGACCGGTGATCTCTTCCTGCCGAAAAATCTTGAAATGGGATTCTTTCAGATCTAAATCTTGCCTCCGCAAATAGTCGATAAGTTCCTCCGTCTTATATTTTTTAACAACGTCCGCCATCGTACGAGTTGACCTTTCTTCCGTCAAAGTAGAGGATGTGGAAATTGGTGAGGAAGGTGAAGAAACGCTGGATGAAGACATGTTATTTTTATACGTGGAAATTTGCAAAATCTGGTTTATGTATCTCACTAATAATGCTAGGTAATGCGATGCAAGTGAGAATGAAAAAATTTATCGTATCCGTTTTTGGATAATCGGTGGTTTATATTTGTGAGATGTTACACAAACAGATCAAGAGATAATATACACGATGAAACCGCTGAAATTACGCCTAACGCGTCGTTATTTTTTTATTACGAAAAAACTTACCCGTGGTAAAGCAGATATAAAAAATAAATTTACGAATATATATCGTCGTTACAAATATACATTCTGCTTAGGATTCCACAAGAATATGAATAACACTTGTGGGAGGATCTCCATTGAAATAATCGGAAATCAAAGTCTGCGGTTGCACAACTCTGTATTTTACAGGTCCGGGGTGAAATGCACGAATAATAAAAGGGACATTTTTAAATTGAGGTGGTAACTGGTTCCGAATTTCAGTTTCAAGATCATCGTCTCGGAATTGTAATTGTTTGAATAACAGCATCTCTTGGAAGACCAATGAATGCGTGAACGGGACTAATAAGACATTCGAGATTAATAGTACCCATTATTGCGTTTCCTAAATATAAAATCCATAGTGAATGAAAATTTAGCTTTCGTAGGTATTTACCGTAAACAATCATACCTTTAGCGTAAGTTAATACAAAGTGTTAAAAATTCGTGGAAAGACGTTGTACGGGATATGAAGTATCCTAAGAAATAAAGCCTCCCTAAAACCTGCTTATTTATATACCCCCCTTCGAACCTGCTAGAAGAAAACCAATATTGCGTCGTTCGGAGGATCGGTCGTATGATTTCGAAAATTAACGGATTTCTTACCTTGTCTAGCTAGCCAATAAATGCCAAGAATCCAGCAAAGAAGAGATGCATAACCATATTTCGCAATTTCGGGGGGATGAGATCCCTTTATGTTCGAGATCGCTCCTGCAAGACGGAGCTGGTTAATGCAATGACGATCTCTGAAACCCCAACACCCTATAACTTGGGGTTTTTGTTATGAAAGCTAATAGAGAATGTCGAGCTTTTCCCCTCAGGTCTCGTTTTCGCATGTCCTTATCGCAAAAGCATGTGTGAAAGAAAGACATTTTCTATGTAAAATAAGCGAAAAAAATAACGATTATCTATGTAGTACAGTTACGCAATTACGCATGTTCCACGAACTTCTATACTGATCTTTGATTCGCGAATTTAAAACACATGACATCGCTTCCTGAGGCCCATTATAACGTGACATAGTGAATATAGTTTATTACGTATCAGACAATCCAGAATCGGACTGTTCGTATGATGAATCGTAATTTTCAATATGTATACTTGGATTGAGTCGTTTTACTACTTTTTCAATATTTTCACAACTATCCAAATCAAGATATTTTAAATTAGGACACGAACGGGCTATTTCTTCAATTGTTTTATCAGAAATGTCACAAAATCCAAGTTCAAGATGCTGAAGTTTAGGACAAGAGCGAATAACATTGCATATCGATGGATCGGTAATGAATCCACACCCTCCAAGATCAAGATATTCTAATTCCTGACATGTGTGGGCTAGTGCTTCAACAACCTCATCTCCGATATCATTACCAGAAATATCAAAATGCTTTAAATTTGGAGAAGATCTGATAATAGTTACAATAAGAGAATCGTTTTGAAAAGCCATAACACCTGCAAAATCAAGATATTCTATTTTGAAATGTGCTTGTATTAACATATCAGCTTTTTTGATTTCTCCACGGCTAAATGCAATATCTAAAGATCGTAAGTTAGTACATAAATTTAAGATATGGCTTATAGATTTATCAGTAATCCAATATGCTTCACTAAAATAAAATTCTTGCAAATTACGACATGATTCCGCAATTGTCATTAATGATTTATCAGTAATACTTCTACAGTAAGAAATATTTAGATATTCTAATTTATTACATGTTTGCGCAATCTCACATAACCCTTTATCAGATATCATTTGATTATTCCATAAATTAAGGTGTTTTAAATTCGGGTATGAAGAAGTTATTTTAATTAATGTCTCATCACTAATACCCACGCTATTTTTAAAATCTAAATGAATTATATTTGGATAGTAATTTATGATAGATCTAATCAATTTGTGTGTAATTGAATGATAATGTGAAATTTTTAAGTTTTTCAGCTTTAAAGCATAAATTGGTTTTTTCTTCCCGCATATTAATTTTATGAAACTTTCCAACTGTATTCGATATCGTTCACAATATTTATATTCATCTGGAAAATAATGTCTATAACAGATATCATTACCTTTTAACTCAATTATTCTCCATAGTAGTGGTACACCACACTTGTACCAAAGATGGTTAATAAATAAAGCAGGATATCAATTTCTAAAAAATATAAGATCTGTTCTAGTAATTCTTGTAAATCAAAAATATTTAGTTATTGTGGTACCACTGCCATTCTCAAGAATATATATATCTTTAATTGGAAAAAAAGTTAATGTTCGGATAATTAATTTTAGGCATATATACTATGCATTTTTCAGATATTCTTAACCGTGCTTAACTTTGCAACCAGCTTATCTAATGACAAGTCTGTTCCACATCTTCTGACTTCCAATTGACTCTCAGGTGATAATCCACGAAGAAAGAAATATCTAAGCTGTTCTTCATTGGCAAAATACTTCATTACTGATTCATTTCCTTGATCCAATTCCCCAAAATGAAATTTTTAAATATCGGTAGGCCCAGTTGAGATAAATTTTAAATGCTCACTTATATTATTTATAGGTTTCTTAATCCTAAATCAGATCACATTTATTTGATTCTCCGGTGATAAATCATTGATAAAATTTTCTTTAATCTTTTCATCATCCACACCTAACTCTAGTGATAATTTTATTTGTTTGAAGTATTCACCCACAGACTTATTGAGTTGTATAGGTGGTGAAATATCTTTAGTTTTTTCAGGTTCTGAAACTGGAGAGTTCAGATATGATTCTTGTATTATTTATTTTCATAAATATATATATATATAATGTATTTTTTACTTCATATTAATAATAATTTAACATTTACAATGACTGAGGATAATAACAATAACAGAGATAAATCAAAAAATATGTACCAAGATACTAGTTTCACTATTGAAATTGACTATGATAAAGAATTAATCAACCTTACACAAAGGCAATTAAAATCACATGTGATTAATATCAATGGCAAAGATATAGAAAGTATACTCGATTCAGATGGACAATATCCAGTTATCACCTGTGGAAAAGCAAAGGAGATGAATTTGAAAATAGATGATATAAATAATACTATAGTTTTCAATATTGTTAGGCAAGTATCAAATAAAAAAATCTGAATTTCTCTCTACCAATTACTAGAGATAGTGAAATCTGAGATTCAGCAAAATATTATAAATATGATAGTAAATCCAGATATTTCTCAATAACATATTCCATGCAAAGCTAGAAAAAAGAAAATTTTAAATAATATAGCATCTTCATCCTCATCCTCATCCTTATCTTCATCTGGATCTGACTCTGAATCATCTAGCTATGAAGTGATCACTCCCAGAAATGATGATAAAGATTTTACTGTAAAAGTAGTGAAAGCAAAGAAGCATGATTAGTAATTGTATAAGTCTATAATATCTGATATCTTAATATTTTCTTCTCTAGTTACTGGAATAATTGGTCTATCATTCATTACATCATAATGTTTGACTAATAAAGCATAACCTATCTTATACCTATATGTTAATTGTCATAAATATTGATGACCAGTATCATTCTTATCTCCATGTACTCTAAAAGCATGATCAGCATCTATTTTTCTTAACATATATAAGGTAATTCTATAGCGATTTAAGAATTGATTAAGAGGTGCAATATTAATATTTCCATTCTTATTTTTTGACAAGAAGGGAAATTTATTCAGTATTGATCTCTGAATTCAGATAAGTAATTCTCTTGTTCATATTGGATTTTTTTTCATTGAAAGAAATAATTGAGGTTCTTCCACTTCATCTTTATTTTTTACATAACTAATATAGTATTAAGAATAATTAGGATTATATCATGACTCATGACTTGATTTATATCAATTGATATGAAGATTTTTTACATCTGCTAATTGCATATATAGCATTATCATATCTATTAGATTTTCTATTGAAGAAGACTTGATAATATTATATTCATTAAGTCTTTTCTAAACTTTTTTCAGATAAAAAAACTTAAAATAATTATAATTATTAATTTCATGAAGTATATATTTTCTTGTTTGAATCTGATTTGCTTCTTCAATAATAAAGGGTATTTTTATTATCTTGATAATAAGATAGTTAGCTCCTAAGCTACACAATTCTTTTTGTAATAAATTAAAACAAGAATTTTCTATAATAGTAGTGGAAGCAGAAGAAATCAAGTTATATACTATTTCATTTATCTCTTCAGGTGAAAGATCATTTTTTATAATATCTCAAGCAATAATTTGATAGAATCTCTTCTCTTAACATGTCTTTCAGGAGCTTGAATGGAGATAAGAGTATCATCTTGCTTTTTACTTAATCCTAATTCTTGAAAGTATCTTTTGGCCTGATCTCTGACTTTTTAGACCTGCTCTTTTGTTTTGCCATCTGAAAGTTTATTAGCCAACTCTTCAGCATAACTATTAAGCTAGAGTAAACTAGTTTAAGAAGTCAATTTATAGAATTTACAAATGATGTAGCAATTTTTGCTATAATTAGTATATGTTGATTAAGATATTTTATATAAACTACTTTTGTCTGATATATACTATGAAGATTTTTTTTTCAAATTAAAATTAATTATTCTGGATTAGTATATATATCCAAAATTGAATGAGTTATGATTATTATAATTTTATCAAGAAATAGATGTAGATAAAATATAATATTAATTAGGCATAAAGTGCTATTTCTTCTAAAATAAAGTCTTGAAATCTATAGCTTTACATAATAAAATTACTAAAAATATAAAAGATATCAAAAAGGATATAGCATTACTTAAAGAGATTTTGGAAAAAATAATCAATATATGTCAGATATATAATTATATATCATGTTTAGAATTGGATAAGTCAGGTATATAATTCTCAAGTATAATAATTTTTACACATAATTCATTCTGCTTTTTTCTGTGATAATTTTTTTTACTTTTATATTTGTCTACATATTTATTGTATGCATTATATTTAGATCTATTTGACTTATCATAATTTTATCTTCTTGCATATATGCTTGAAGTCAGAAAAATAATATATAATAATATATTAAGGTATTTCATCTAATCCATTCTCATGATTGTATTTTTTAAGTAATTTAATTTGTCTTTTTTTATGATAATTTAATTTATTGTGATATTTTTCAGCATGTTTAATATACATATCATATATAGAAGTAGTTGGTATATCACACTCTTTACAAAAATTATATAATCACATTTTCTAATGAAGAGCACAATCCTCTTGTTAGTAATAACCTTTTTCACAAATTTGATTATTAATATAAATATGTGGGTAAGAATAGAATACCATTACTAATAATAATAACTTTCAAATTTTACTTATATAAAATAATTATTTTTTGAATTAAACTTTTTATGTCACTTTTATTATAAGTTGATAAATCAATACATTATATACTTTTTATCAAATCAAATAATATGCATATATAAATAACATATATATAATTAATAAAATGAGTTTGTCTAGTAAAGCAAAAAAATATCTTCATGAATCATTATAGTAATAGTGCTTAAATTAAAAGTTAGTCAAATATAATAAAGCAAAAAGACTTTTTATGAATTTAATGAATCTTACTATAAACTTGACCATAAAGAATATATATTTTATAAATACTAGCTTATATCCAATAGTCATACTGATAAAAATGATACTGTACTTTTAAATGTATATTAACCTGAAGAGATTCATTCTTAATATATAATTTGAATGACAGAAAAAGATTATATAGTGATCAATCATCTCTTTGAAATTTATAGAATATCTGATACTCATGAATATATTAATAGGAATTAACCTTTATGCTTAATTATTGATATTGATGCAAGATAAAAGCCTGATTCTATAAATTCTAAAATATCTTTCTTGAATAATAAAAAAATTACATGAGAAAATTTATTATTTTAAATTTTAATTACTTGTACAGATGCATTAAGTTTTATTCCAGATTGTATATCTTTCTTAAATTCTTTTACCTTAGCTAGTTCATCAAATGCTGAGAAATGTAGTTAATATATTATTTATCCTTATACCCAATTCATAAATTATAAAAAACTTAAGAAATTTACAGAAAAGATTATGGAATTAGTTAGGGAATCTTATTCAAAATTTATTGATAATGATCTTCTCAAAACATATTTTAATCTTCAACTTTTAGGATTAGCAAAAGAAGATCATATAAAAAGATTTGCTATTTCTTCAATTAAAAATAGATTTAAAAATCTAGATAATTATCTGGTTCAGCCTAAAGAGAATTATTCTGTAATTTGGCCATGAATTTTTTCTTCTGAAGAGTTAGTAAAACAAGAATCCCAGCCTATTAATGTTGAAAATACTTTAAGTAGAGAAGCTAATCTAGTTATTAAAAAATATAGATAATTTCAGATTAGAAAAATTAGAAATAGTTTTATTAATTTTCAAGCATAATTCATATTATATAATAATGAACTCCACTCTAAAGAAT